AGAACTTGATTTTTGTTAAAATTCTATACCGCCTGACTGAATGATCATCTTTCATTATCTTACCCTTTTTGTCTCTCAGATCCTGAAAATTACTTTTTATCGTTTATAAGTAGAATGATACAATGGTGGGGAACTATTTGTTAAGTTTTTCTTGTCTCTGGACTTTAGAAGACTCTCCCACTCTTCGTTAGAGTTCAGTCCGAAAAGAATTTCTCCTATATCAGAGGCTTCATACTGCATTAACAGTTTGGTCTTCTTATTGTCTACCCGACCTGACAGTTTTGTTAACTGCAATTTTGGCAAAACCATGGAGGTTCGTTGCTATTATTATAAAAATTGCATTTCTGAAAATGTCTTTTATTTAAAGCCGGCTCAATGACGCCGTGCATATTTTCTACTTGCATATGAGTGTGGCCTCTAATAAGATTTTGTATTCAATTTCGGTGTTTGTTTTAGTGGAGAGGGCACGTGCGGCATTAGAAATAGATGCAATTTTGTGCAGACACACACACACACACACACACACACACACACACACACACACACACACACAGAGACACACACACCTGTAGCTGTATAATAATGAATATATTGTTATAACCTTCTATGCATTTGTCCATCAAACAACTTGTGAATTCATTTGCAATCAAACCACCTTGTGCCTTTTGTCATAAGTAATAGATGGCACCAAAGGAGGTCGCATTGAAGATTATGTGCATATTTCTGTAACAAGAGCTGGATTAATTAATAGACAACGACAAAAGTACACCCTGAAGATTCAGGCAAATCATCACAAGGTCTTCTTGCCTAAGAGCAAAAGGTTTTATCCACTGCGTGCCCTTTCTTTGTCATGTTCTTTTCTGACATGTGAGATTCCCACTTAGTCTGGCTGACGCTGTGAAGACTCAAAACTCACGCACAATTCACATTGATCTCTTTTTGACTCATAGATCGACATTTTCTTTTCATCTATCACATATTTGAGTAGCCTGACATACAAAGGGCAGATTGTCCCTGACCAGTGCAGGCGGTTTCAAGCTCCGACAGATTACAGAATCAGGGATCAAGATACAATTTTCAAGAGCTTTGCTGGCAATAGTGAGTGGGAACCTTCAGAAGCATGTCCACAGATGGGAAACAGAAACTCCTTGGCTTGCACGTCCCTTGTGGGTTGTTTGGTGGTGCAGCTAGGCTGCGCTCTTCTAAAGCACTCTTTACAAAGTTCTGGAGGATCCAGGTTGTCATCAACAAGTGCCTGAGGAACTTCCTCAGGATCAGATGGACAGACAGAGACACCAATGAGGAAGTAATGACCAGAACATTTTCAGACAGAAGAAAGCAGTGGAGATGGATTGGACTGAGCATACCATTTGGAAATCAGGCAGCTACATAACAAAAACGTTTTAATTTTGAGTCAACAGCTTAAACCATCAAGGGAAAACCATGTGGAACCTGTAGAAAAGTCGCAGAGAATGATGAACAGAAAAGTGGAAAGACATTTGAAAAATATGAAGAAGTTAGCCCAGGGTAGGGAATAGTGGGAAGTGTTTGTCCGTACGGGGTGAGCCAGGTGATGATGAAACTGGCATGGGCTCCTCTAGAGCAGTTTACTATGGGTGAGCCCGGTCATAGATATACATCCTGCAAACTTTGATCTTCTGGTCATTCTGTTTCAGATAATAAACCCAAGTGTGCATCTTTCAGCTTGGTGTATCGCTTTTGCTTAAATTGTACTTGTTTGTGTTGAGAAAACCGTTTACATAGGACTTTCTGTCTCCCCGTGTCAAAGTCCAAACAAAGACAAAGATAGTTGTTCAGATAGTTGTTCTGGCGTTGTCTTTTAACAATGAGTAGTCCATTGATTTGGTTGAGCAATCACATCTGGGTTTCAGTTCTTTAGGGTTTTTAAAAATCGTCCTATCTCTTGATTTGTATTGCTTATTGCTGCCCCCCTCTCTCTGTCTGTCTGTCTGTCTGTCTGTCTGTCTGTTTGTCTGTCTGTCTGTCTGTCTGTCTCTCTCTCTCTCCCTCTCCCTCTCTCTCTCTCTCTCTCTTTCTCTCTTACTCTCTCGGAGGTTAAAAAGGCACCTTTGATCTGTTCCAACGCATCGTGTACTTTGAATGACACTTTTCTTCATTGAAGTCTGGTTCTTCTACTATTTCCGTGCTGTATTTTCTGTAGCTTTCTTTGAAGCCCAAAATGGTTCACATTGCTCGGCTTCTCAAAATTCCTTTTCTTGTTAGGGAACTCTGATGTCAAATCAAAGAGCTTTCAATGTCAAACAAGTTTGGATTGTGATACAACACGGAAATATACTTGTAATTTATACTTGGCCACGTCAATTTTCAGCCTTTTTTATTTATTTATTTTTTTAAAATATTTTTTTTTTTTGCAAATGATCAAAATTGTATAACCACTACTAGAAGGGCACACACATTACACATTCGAATTTGATAGTCGTTGTGAAACAATACCAGTCTTGCACCTAGGAAATACACATTTTAATTATGTGATAGAGAGGTTTTCCCGCAAAACGCATACAGTCAACATCATAAATTATAATCTTTGGCCCGGAAACCCTGAATACTGACCGACCATTATGTTTGCTCAACGAAGTCGCCCACATTTCAATGGTCTAAAGAGGCGTTCACGGCGCCAACGGTCAGCCCCATGAGTCATAAACCGACTGATGAGATCGTGAATTCCACACAGGTGTGGGATTCACGGTTTCATCAGGCGACTTTTGGGGCACGGTGTTATATTCACGATTTTCTTATTACGTCAGATTACATGTTTGAGTTGAGATAATTGAAAAATTGTTTTACAGGAACATGTATCTCACCGAGCACTATCAAAAAATGCAAAAAAACGATTTTCGAAAATTTGTGGAATTCACGGTTTTATCAGGCGACCGACGATATCTTGTAAAGTCTGTCCAGCTCAATATGTAGGTCAAACTACCACCACCCTAAGAGCTAGGTTTAATAACCATAGGTATTCAGTCCAGAAAAACTCCAGCACACCAGTTGGCCAACATTTCAACATTCCTGGTAACAATGGAGCCTCCGATTTGCAGCTTCAGGGTATTGAAATAGTCCAATATCCTACTAAAGAAAAACTTAACCAAAGAGAATCAAGGTGGATTTGGAATTTGGGCTCTCACAAAATACTCACTGGCCTTAACATCGACGAGCCCCATTTTAAGGACCTTAAATTTACAATGTAACGTACTAATCACCCCTTATGTTCCTGTAACCCCCTCCCTTTGGCCCTGCCTTTCTGTTATATTCCTTACCTCCACGTACTAGTTCTCTCTCTCTCTCTCTCTCTCTCTCTCTCTCTCTCTCTCTCTCTCTCTCTCTCTCTCTCTCTCTCCCACTTTTTGCCTTCGTGTTTCCCTTCCTCTGGCCTTTTCGACTCATTGATTGTGTTCACCGCACCCTTCCGTTATAATATTCGTTACCTCCATGCATAGGTTCCCCCCCCCCCCTCTCTCTCTCTCTCTCTCTCTCTCTCTCTCTCTCTCTCTCTCTCTCTCTCTCTCTCTCTCTCTCTCTCTCTCTCTCTCTCTCTCTCTCTCTTTTTCCCTTTCCCTCTCTCTTCCACCTCTGGCCCTAGTGTTTCTCTTTCTCTGGCCTTTCCGATTTGTGTTCACCGCACCCTTCTGTTATTATAGTCCTTACTTCCACGCACCTGTACCCCCCCCCCCTTTCTCTCTCTCTACAACTTCTGGCTTTAGTGTTCCCTTCTCTCTGGCCTTTGCGATTTGTACTCACCGCTCCTTTATATGTTGAGACATGCATGTACGCACTTTAGTTTTTATAGCCTGTGTATATCTAGATTCTTGCCAGTTATTTTTGTGAATGTTCCTGAGGAAGCCCGTTAAGGGCGAAACGTCGAACTGTGTATAATATATATTTTCTGGAAACACAACAAGGTCTTAACTGTTTTAATACCTTCTTTATACAATGATGATGATGATGATGATGATGATGATGATGATGATGATGATGATGATGATGATGATGATGATGATGATGATGATGGGCTTCTGTCCCACTCAAAAAAACTTTAATCTTTTCCAGTTCATCAAGGACACCAAAGAATATACCCGCCGCTGTAGACTCTTAGAATACTTCGCTGAAGTGGACTCTCTTCCCCGCTCTGATATTCCCCCCAAACTCTATGTCAAAAGTAATTGGACCCCCCCTTCCGGCCGCAATGCTGCCCTCGACCTTTATTGTGACAACATCAAGAAGTCGGCACTCAATAGCAAAATGAAAGACGGAAACCAATTTCACATTTCTAAAGACAACCTCAATGGAGCAGAAAGAAAAGCTCTCCATGAACTTATGCACGATAATGATCTCACTATCCGTGAGGCTGACAAAGGTGGTTCCCTTTTGGTCATGAACACCAGTGACTACAAACACCACGCATTAAACATCATGCTTAACAATCCCACCCTCTACAAACCACTCACTTCAGACCCAACTTCCTCTCACCTTAATGCTATTCACAAACAAATCCGTACACTGGAACAACTTAAAGTGATATCCCCCGAAATCCACAAGAGTATTCTCCAC